CAGATCTGCCCCCCCAGAGCAGCCCATGCTGACCCCCTCGTTGCTCCCCCTGCTGTTGTCACCTCTGTGTCCCCTGTCCCACAAAGCACCTCACACCACCCTGCGATGACAGGATCAGAGATGAGACTCGGGGCGTGCTCTGCCCCGTCCCCACCAGTTACCCCGTCCCCGGGGCTTTGCAGTGCTGGCACTGACGCCTCTGCTCTTGCCCAGGTGAAGCGGCGCTCTAAGCGAGGGCAGGTGGGCATGGTGCAGGTCGGCGTGGAGACCTATGGAGGGGGCATCTGGAACACCTGGTTCGACCGTGACCTCACCGTGGCCGGGAGGGTGATCATAAAGGTGAGTCTGATTTGGGACAGGCATGGTGGGCTAGCTGTGTACTCCCAGCTCTGGGTCCGTGACTTCTGCCCAGAGTGGGACCTATTGCAGGCTCTCAGCCCTGCAGTCCTGTCTCCAGCAGTCATCCTTGTGTTTCAGGACCCGACCACGGGGCACCTGGAGCAGCGCCTGGTACGTGTGGAGCGGCCTGTCCTCCGCATCCCTCACCTGGCCATCCATCTGCAGCGCAGCATCAATGAGAACTTTGGGCCCAACACCGAGCACCACCTGTAAGGCCTGGCTCAGCCCCAACCCCTGGCCAGCCCTCGGGAGGGCTGGGACCCAGCTGGAGCAGTGCCCAGCCTCAGCTCTCTCCCTTTGGCAGCTGCTCATCGCAGTGGGGAAATCTGCAATGGCTTTTCTTGGCCCCATAGAGTCCTCATGGGAGATGCTTCCAAGCTTGGGACTTGGGAAAGGACACTGGGATGTCCTGAGGTGGCACAATAGATCTGTGCTTGAAATGTTGTGTGTCCTTGCTCCGTTTAGCGTGGCAATTGCTCCCTGGAGGAGCAAGGCAGGCACCCCAGGAAGGGTTGGCTGTGCGTGACCCAAGCAGGAGAGGTGAGAAAAGCCCTGGGAGGTAATGGCACTGTCTCTCCACAGGGTTCCCATCCTGGCCACTGCTGTGCAAGAAGAGCTGGAAAAGGAGGTGCTCATGGAGGCCACACCTTGTGATGCTGCAGCCCAGGTGAGCCAAGTGCCAAGGACTAGCAGGCTAGGGAAGGTTACGAGCAGTCCATGTGGAGAAGGGGAAGGGGAGCCTGCTGGCGCAGGTTCCTGAGGACGGGAAATCAAAGGTGACAAGCGTGAGGTCCTAGCAAGCAGTGGATGGCAGGGGAAACTCCACTGCCTGCCCTGCCTGCAGCTCTGCTTTCTTCCCAGGCAGAGCGGCACAGCCCTGTCCTGCTTTCCCTGCTCTGCCCCCAGCTGGGGGTGAAACCAGAGCAGATTGTAGAGCTGGAACTATGCCTGGCGGATACACAGCCAGCGGTGAGTAAGGGCAGGAGCCTCCCTCTGCCTGCATGCAGCCTGCAGCTGGAACTGCACAGGTTTTACCTGGCACACTTCCTCAGCCTGGGGTGTGCCAGGGCTGGAAGCTGAGCAGAATGAGAGGCAGCTCCTGAGGGGCAGAGATGAGGGGACTGGAGTGGGGACCCAATAGCAGATACTTTTTGGTGACTCAGAGCCTTGTGCCCTGCTCCTCCTGGTTCTCTGCCTGCAGACGCTGGGTGGTGCCTTCGACGAGTTCATCTTCTCCCCACGCCTGGACAACCTGCACAGCTGCTACTGTGCCCTGCAGGTGAGCAGGAGCGGGAAGGGAGCCTGGAGGCCCCTACGCACCCCGTCTCTGCTGAGTGGGGCCATGCGTTGGCCCAAGACTCTGCAAGGAGGTGTGTTCCTATGGGATGAGTCTTGGCTTATTGGAGGATTTGGGGTTCAATACACAGCCTTTCAATCAGCTTTCTTATAAGGCAGAAAACGATCTTCTAGCCCTTCCACTTTACAGAAAGCAATGCTTTCTCTGAAGCTACTCTTGCATTGTACTTGACATATCACAATAAAAACAATATTACATTAATTAATAGCATGGATAAATAAGTAAGTAAATAAATAAATAAATATAGTCTCAACTTCACTTGATTATGGTGAAGTGTGATGTTTTCATGTGTAATTCTCTCCAAAGAGACATTACCCTTTAAATGTTGTCTATTAAAAGACCTGGGCTATTGCTGGGTGTGTTGTGTTCCCAGCAGCTCCCAGGGGTGACTCCTGCTCTTGCTGGGCAATGTGTGTGCCCACAGCTCCCTTTGTTGGTGCTTTGGACTCTTCTGGGGAAGTTCCTGCCGGCTCAGTGCTGAGCTTCCCGGGATGGGGTGGCACTCAAGCTGGTGTCCTTTTTCTTCTAACCCTGCAGGCCTTGATTGACTCGTGTGCGGTGCCTTCCTCCCTCTCCCAGGAGCCCAACGTGCGTCTCATCGCACTCTACGACAACGAGGAGGTCAGTGAGGGACACAGCCGTGGGATGGCTGGCACAGGGAGGGGCTCCAGGTTCTTCCCTCTCCACTAGCCGTGCAGGAGATAAATCCCAGGCTCCAGTGGGGCAAGGGAGGAGTTTGCTTAATGCCCTCCCCCCATGGAGCATGGCCCAGGCAGGAGATAGGAAGCACTGGCGTGGTTGGAAGCTGCTTTGCTGGCTTTGGGGAGCCCCCTGTCACTGAGCCGGCCCCTGGGGTGCTGGGGGTTGTGCTGTGTGTGTTGTGCTGATGGTCCTTGACAGGTAGGATCAGAGAGTGCCCAGGGTGCAGAGTCCCTGCTGACGGAGCTGGTGCTGCGCCGAATCTCAGCATCGCCGCAGAACCTGACAGCCTTCGAGGAGGCCGTGGCCAAGTCCTACATGATCAGTGCTGATATGGCCCACGCTGTGCACCCTAATTACGTGTGAGTAGTCTGAACAGTGCTGCAGGCCAGGGCAGCCTGCCCTGCTGGCTGCGGGGACGTATCCCTGTCATTCCCCAGGGAGTACAGACAGGACAGTCCTTGTTGCGGCAGGGAGGGAGGGCTGTAGCATCAAACTCCTGCTTCTCTTTTGCAGGGACAAGCATGAGGAGAATCATCGTCCGGCCTTCCACAAGGTAAGGGCAGCCCTCTGCTTTGGGCTAGGATGGGCACTGTCTGTCTGTCCTGCAGCACTGTGAAATGCTCAGTCGCTCTCTGGAGCATGGTCCCGGGGTGCAACTCAATGGCACTCAAATGAGAGGTGTTTGTCCCGCAGCACAATTTGACCATGCTGCACATCTGGTGTTAATCACTTGGTACCACAGCCTTGGCACTGGAGCCCTTCCCTGCTCTGAGCTGGGGCTGTCCCTGTGGCAGAACTGTCCCAATCCCCATGGATCACCCAGGGAAGAGAGAATGGACTGGTGGGTTGGGGCAGGATGCCATTGCCTGGACACGGGTGTTTCCAGAGCCACCAACTATCCCCGGTGCTGAGCACGGGCCTGCGGTGCCTTCCCTTGTGCAGGGCCCCGTCATCAAAGTGAACAGCAACCAGCGCTACGCCTCCACGGCTGTCACCGAAGCAGTCATCCGGGATATCGCCGCCCGCGTGGGTGTCCCTCTGCAGGTGAGTGGGGCTGGGCAAGCCCTCCATGAATGTTACCAGCTTGGGCCGTGGCTGGGGCCTGTCCCAAACCCCCACCCCTCAGTTACTCTGTCCGTCCCCACTGGGGTCTGCTCTGCCTGCTGCCCTGGGGCTCCAGCTGCGGGGCTGCCTCGGGGAGCAGGCTTGGGAACAGGAGGGGAGGGCCTTGCCTGAGCATGTCCCATTTCTGGGGGATTTTGCACCCTCGCTCGGGGACGGTGCTGCTTTTCCGTCCCAGGTTGCCTCTCCAGGCCTGGGAGCCCATGTGGGAGGCTGTGGGGCAGTGTGGGGAGTTGCTGAGGCCGTGTTCCTGTGCAGGAGTTCATGGTGCGCAACGACACGCCCTGTGGCACCACCATCGGCCCCATTCTGGCCTCCCGCCTGGGGCTGCGCGTGCTGGACATCGGCTGCCCGCAGCTGGCCATGCACTCCATCCGGGAGATGTGCTGCACCTCAGGGGTGCTCCAGAGCATCACCCTCTTCAAGGTGAGCCCCGTGTCCCCCATTCTGCACTGAAGCCCCCTCCGTGCTGCTCCACATGTCCCACATGCCCATGTCCCCATCCAGCCCCCATCTGTTGGGCTGAGCCCACCCATCCCACCGGGCTCCCCACCCCTCTGGAGCAGCGCAGGTGCTGGCTCCTTCCAGAGGTGCCCCCTCGCATCCCATCCTTCCCTGGCGACTGCCATCCCCAAATGGTTCCTATGGCAACCAGCGCTAGCCTTGAGTCAGTGATGGGTTACTATGGTGACGCAGTCCTGCTCACTACGAGTAGCTGTCTGCTATGACGCTGCGCGCGTAACCCAACAGGGAGCCGCTGCCTGCCCCCGCGGCCTGTCCC